AGCTCGGGGTGGCACACATGATTCTCTGCCCCTTCCCCCTATGCATTTTATCCTCACAATAACCCTGTGTGGTAGGTTAGGCTAAGAGACAATGACTAGCACAAAGTCATCCATTGAGCTTCCTCAAGAATGTGGCATTGTACTCTTCTTCTCCCAGGTCCTAGTTTATTAACTCTCCCCACTACACCACATGGGCTGTGACCAAAATTCAGCAGAGATCTTAGAGTCCACCTTACATGCTGAATGAATGGTGCAGGGCGTGGAAAATGTTCTCATAAGAAGCCATTGTAGGTGCATCCATGTTGTGTTAAGCAGTGTTAAGCAGTCTGCATCTCAGCAGGTTTACTGCCTTCTAAATCGGATGGAGAACCTGTGGCCCTCAAGGTGTTACTCTCCAATTCCCATCAGCTCCAGCCAGCATGGTCAATGGTAAGTGATGATGGGAGCTGTAGTCCATCAACATCTCTAGGGCCCCAGGTTAGCCATCCCTGTTCTAATTGGAGGCCCTTCGTCTCTCTCAATAGGGTATCTCAACAGGCAGTTCTTGTCCAGGTCCCCATCCACGTCCCTGCTACTGAAACAGGAGAATAATGAGCTGTTAGGTGCCTTAAATCTAAACCATGGAGAGATGCCTTCCATTTAGTAGGATGGGCCTTCCAAAATGCTCAGCTCAACAGTGGTCCACTAGCTATGGTAATGTCCTAAGGTGCCAGATGGGACACCACTCTGACTTCTTAAGCGTGTAAGCTCTGCAGCCAAATCTGTACCTGCAGGATGGCAGACTTACAGCATAATCTTATACATATCTATTCAGAAGCAAGTCCCATTGAAATCAATGAGGCTTATTCCCTTCCAGGTTTATTGGTATAGGATACCCACCACAGATAATTAAATATTGATATAGGGAGCTGCTTAGAGATGTTTAAATTTGTGTGAGAGCCTATTACATTTTCTTAAGAGCCTTGTCAAATCAATTTAGAAAGTTAGCATCCCACTGGCATAGAATAACAACAGTTAGTGCAATACTGACACATGAGTCTTGCATCAGTCACATTTAAGTAAATAGGATGTTTAAACCGCAGTGAACAAGCAGGTAAAATTTTAGGTTTCTCCAGTGAAAGGGAGTCCTAATTTTCATCTCTGAGATCTGTCACATCGCCACAACATGCATAATTACTAGTGCTGATGAGGTTTTGTTACCAACACAGGATTACTTTACATTTAAATCCTACAAAAGCGACAACATTTCCCCCTCGAGATAAAAATAATGGGGCAGGGAGAACGGCCTAACGTGCTTCTTCTTTTAAAATGCACTTTCCTTCTAAATATTCTTTAAAGCATTCTGACAAATTTCTAAAGGAGAGTTATAGGGGATTACTTAACTCAGTAGGTAGAATTATTTTCTACTCTGAAGGACTGGTGGCAGGAAGGAATGGCAGAAGGAAGAGGTCTGGTAGTGAAGCTGGAGAGGGGAACTCTAGAAGGTGCTTTTAATTACAAATGGAATATGGCACTCGCTTTAAAGTTCCTTAGTTCAGGGATAGTCAACCTGGTGCCCTCCCAGCGTTGCCGGGTTCCAGCTTCCATCGCACTGGCCTTGTTGTCTGGCGCTGCTGGGAGCTGGTGTCCAATAAGATCTGGAGGGCACCATGTTGATTTGGAGGAAACACTGCAGCATGTGCCTAAATCTGTAGAACTCTGGGAGTAACCAAATGCTCAGCAGATGTCCCTTAAATTGCTCAGACGCAGAACCACTTGCACAGACTTGTAGTACAAGACACATGATTCTACACATATGTTTGGGGGCTGCTGAATGCAGGCTTCCACACCCATTCCACTTTCTCCTAGTTGGTGTCTTGCCCTGCTATACCTGTGTATAGAGTGCAGTCTCTGAATCTTGCAGCATTATTATAGTTGGGTGGAAGCGAGAAAATAAGAGAAGTAGAGTTGCCGGAGCTATGAGGGCCTAAAGATAGGATCTGCTGGGCAGATGAGCTGTCTTTAAGAGAGGCCATGCCAGCTTCTTCCCTCCTCAAGTGCTATAATGGCAAGTGATGAACTATGGAAGGCACCACATTGAGCCGCATGAAATGGAAGTCCATCAGGTATCTGAAGAAGTGTGCATGCACACGAAAGCTCATACCAAGAACTAACTTAGTTGGTCTTTAAGGTGCTACTGGAAGGAATTTTTTTTGTTTTGACTATGGCAGACCAACACGGCTACCTATCTGTAAGTGATGATTTGTATGTTCAGAAACATCCACTGCAGACTGAGCTTTCATACTCTCATTTTCTCAAGGAGAATGACTTTCGGTGACTACGATCCACTCATATTGAGCTGTGAGTGAGCAAAGAACTTGCGCTTACGCAAATCCTTTATTTAAGAAAACCGGCAACACCCTTTTGGCTGTCATTTTGGGCTCATTAGGGAACAAGGAAGGTGTAGAATGATCCATTACTTAGCCATCTTTAAGGATTTCAGATCCTGATCCGCGCCATCTACAGTGACTGACAGCAGCCCTACAGGGTTTAGATGAGGGTCTCTCCTACTCCTGCCTGGAGGGACCAGGGATTGTACCTGGAGCTTCTGTGTACAAAGGAGATGCTCTGCCACTGAGCTATGGCTCTTCCCTTTAAGAGACTAGGGTGTGTCTTAGGAACATGAGAAGTTCATTACTGCACTGTGGTGCTGCCTCCAGAGTGGAGATGCATAACCTCAAACTTGAAGGGAGCAAGCCTGGGCAGAGTAGGCTGAGAGGTGACAGACGCACCTAAGGTAAAGAAGTCTCCATGGTAGGCCCTGAGGGAACCATCACACCCTTCATTCCAAAAAGAATATGCTACAGGTAAAAGTCCCTTTCGTGTGACATTCTGGTTTTGATGTATGAATCAGCAATGAGCCATTTATGAAACAATACATGTCTACACAGAAGTAAGTCTTGCTGAGGTCAACTGGGCTTTCTCCCAATTAGGTAAGAGTAGGATGCACTTAATCAGGGCATTAAGTTTCACTGAACCTCACAGGGCTTACTTCTGAATGGGGGCGGGGTATATAGGATTGTGCTTTAAGTTGCTAAGATAACAAAGAATCCAGTGGCATCTAAATAACTAACAAATTTATTCTGACAAAGCTTTTGTGGACTAGGGTATACATTGTTTAACAGCAGCAGCAGCACAACAACAACAACAACAGCAACAACACGCTCATCTGACTGGGTTGCCCCAGCCACTCTGGGTGGCTTCCAACAAAAATACAGGAAAAACAAAACAGCAAACATTAAAAGCTTCCCAATGGGGAACATGCAGGAGAAATGATTTTGTGGAAATATGGAAGGTGTTTGTAGAATTTGTACTGTTAAAATGAAAAGGGTGGTGGAGTGCACATTTTTGTTCTTATTTATTTATGATCCTTACTTTGTCAAAATAAAATCGTCATCTAATAAAAAGAGAGAGAGAGAGAGAGAGCGCACTATGCTTGTCAGCTGTGATTATAAGTCATTTTATTTCTAAGTCGATGAGCCTATGTCTTGGACAGGCATATGTCGTATGGAATGATTTGGATGTATCATTTTGAACATTTTGGAACTGTTTTTGAAGAAGTTGAAGTTAGTAAAGCTTTGAACAACAACAACAACAACAATAAAAAAGCTTCCTGAAATAGGGCTGTCTTCAGATGGTTACAAACAGAGAGAGAGAGAGAGAGAGAGAGAGAGAGAAAGAAAGGGAGAGTTGCTGTGTTTAACTCTTCAACATCTGTCAGGAGGGCATTCCACAAGGCAGGTGTGTCTACTGAAAAGGCCTTCTGCCTGGCTGCCTGTAGCTTCCGTTCTCGCCATGAGGGAGCTGCCAAAAGGCCCTCAGTGTTAGACTGCTGTAGCTGACATATCCAATGAATCACAGAATCATAGAGTTGAGGTAAACTCTAGTAAATGAAAATGTATGTTGTAATATATTTGCTTGCCTTTAAGGTGCTGCAGACCTCACTGTTGTTTCAGCAACTTACAGTACAATCAGGACTGCCCCACCCATGAGGCAAGGTGAGGCAAACACTTTGGGCAGCAGGATCTACCGAGGCAGCAGATCCAGCCACCAAGGAATACATCACTTGCTGCCACTGCTGGCTGCAGCGCACTACTTGCCTAACCAGAAGTTGTTTTTGTTGCAACAGGCCAGTACAGCTTCCCCTCTGGATTTAGTTGCCACATTCAAATAAACAGACCCTGACAATCAAGGAATTGTTGGTCAAATGTCAAATCTGTTTCAAAATTAGTTTTGAAATTTGCTTATGACAGTTATTAGAGAGCTTGATGACCATGACACGTCCCAGGAATCAATCCTATTATATTTGCACCAGTCCTATTTCTAAGGTGGCGTCAGTATTATAGCGTTCATCTTTGTAACAATCTAAGGAGGTTGCTACTTTTTAAATGTTACAGATGGCGCACTGTAACTGGTCCAAGAAACTGTGGGTGGATCTAAACACAGAAATTCCCCCCCCCCTATAAATATGTCAGAAATTAGATCGTTTTAACAAAAGGGGGAAATCTCTATGGAAAATCACGTTTTAAAATTTCCTGCTCTCTGGCGCCATCTGGTGTTGCATATTTATAGCACATTCAGATTGCAGGTTATTTACTAATGTAGCTGGGTCCTAAGGCCATCCTTGAGTCAATGAGGGAAGTCATATTTGCACTCACATCTCCTGCGTACACTCTCTTGCATATGAATGGCATGGCTTAAGTATATAAATACATTAACATTGCACTCTCTGGACAATAGATCTGCAATTCATATGGCACTTCTCATTGATACTGAGAAAATTATTGGGAAATCTTATCAGGTTTGCACTTATGCTTTGCATAAATTTAAAATATGTCAGTTTGGTGACTTTGTTTTTGTTTTGCTTCAGGATGTTCACATATATAAGTTGCTTTTCTTAAACATTATTGCTGTTGATTATTTTAAGCTCTAAAAGCACAGTAAGTAAATGATTTATTTACCCATATTTTTTGAGGTAAGACCAAGCCCCATTTATGCTTCCTCCTCTGCATCCAAGCTGGTTTCTGGTGTCACAAGAGATCAAATTTTGAGGGGAAAGGTTGTCTGTGAAACGGCCTTTGGACCCAATTGCTATTCTGTCTGCCGCAACACCTGTTTTATGGGAAAGAGTTGGATTACTAAGTAATCTATATTGTTTGGACGGTTAGAATTTTCTCCGTGCCAGACATAATAAATCTGTGTCACAGAATATATATGGAACCACAGAGTGCCCTTTAATTCTAGCAAATTGCTATGAGGGAATGCCCTCAACTTTAAGGTTTCACATTCCCATACAATTGGAGATGCACTTCCTAGGACTTTGATAGGTTGCATCTTCAAATGTGATCAATCCCTTTGGCCAGCTGGAAGGGAAGTTGAGAAACTCAAGATGCCCCAATTTGCTTGCCTACAGGGTATATCCTACCTAAAGCGTACCTGAGAGGTCCCTTTATGGCTTGGGACCTGGGATTTCTTCCCACACAATGTGTGCATCCACTTCTGAGAGTGACCCTTAGGAACACAGGAAGCTGCTCCATATCTAGTCGGACAATTGGTCCGTCTAGCTCAGATTTCCCCACATTAACCTGCAGCCACATTCCAGGGTTTCAGATAGGAGGCATTCCCAGGCCTACCTGGAGATGCCAGGGATTGAAACTGGGACCTTCTGTTTACAAAGCAGATGCTCTACCACTGAGCTATGACCTTTCTCCTTCTCTGTGTCCCACCACTGCCAGAGTTTCCACTGGTGACTTTGTGGGAGAAGCCCTTCTCTAGGTTAGTACCCAGGTTGTTTTGGATGGTGACTGGAGCCAAAGAGCAGACTCCAGTGCTGGTATTCCACTCCCATAACAACCTTTGATCCAGCAGATTCCTCCACTAATGGAAGAGGAGATGGGATTGCCCCCAATTCCGCCCTTCGTCCTGGAGGCCCCCCGAGCCAACTTCCATGGTGTTGTGGAGGGTCTGGGACAATTTGTGTGTGTGTGTGTGAGAGAGAGAGAGAGAGGTATAGGAGGCACTAGAGGGAAGATGAAATGGTCAACACTCCTCTCTCTTCCTCCCATATTGCCAGAGCCATCTGCTGGTTCAAAAGCCATGAAGCAAGCGGAATGATGGATTCCACCCAGAGCATCCTGCCACTCCTTCCTACTGCCAGAGGGCAACTAATCATAGCTACAGATAGGTTTTTCCTAGAGAAATAGATGGGAAGGGAAAGCAGACAACTCCAGTGCATGGTTGGTCCCCAGCCAATGGCTAGGGCCAAGCTGCTCTTCCACTTTCTGGTGCTGATGAGGGAAAGAGACCTCTGAGCATCTTTTCATCAAATTCTATCTTCCCACCCCCACCGATTTCTATATTGCTATGTTATCCAAATCAACCATGCATTAGTTCATTGGTTTGCAAAAATCCACAACTTCCTGTAGATCAGAAGAGTAGTCCATTCTCTTCCAACAAGGGTCACATGTATCCACAGAGCCTTTCCCTGGCACCCACAGGGCTCCCCCCTCCACACTGAAATTAGGCTTGAAAGAAGTATCCTACTTTCTAAAGGGTTGACTGACCCCTGTCTTATACTGAACTCTTGCATGGGCACCTGTGTACACAGAGAGTTCCCATCTAAGGAGGATGCCTGGCTGCATATGATAGACATGCTGTTTACTCTATTGATGTGGTTAGGGAAGATTGCATTTGCATGTTACTCTGCACCCCAAAGTCCAGTCTGGGTCTGTCTTTTATTCTAGCTTATGATCCACCTCCCCATTTAAGGGGCATTAGAGGGGAGGCAATAAATAAGAGAAGGATAATCCCAAAGGGGAAAAGACTACCCTAAACAGATAAAATAGTAAACCCTTTTGAAACTTTTGGAAAAGTAAAGAGATGCACAAACCTTCTCTAGCAAGCAGTGAACTACTAACTGAAATATTCTATTACAAGCATGAGCAGCCTCTCTCCTACGTTTAGGGTGCAAGAAAAAGAGGGGAGGGACACATTACTTGCAGTTGAAAAGGCCCAGGATGCTGCACAGTTTCTCTGATCCAGTGGGTCATGAATCCACCCAGGCCATTCATACGAGGCCACAAAAAATTCGGGGAAATCTGTTTCTGTGATCAGGTTTTCCTACAAGAAACCCAAGGCATTTGACTGGATAACTATATTCAAACATACATATTATGACCAATAGTGACTCCCGAGGGTTTCAGATGGCAGGATCTCCCAGACCAACCTAGAGATGCTGGGGATTGTACCTGGGGACCTTCTGCATTCAAAGGAGATGCTTTGCCACTGAGCCACAGCCTTTCCCCATTTGACCCCATATGGGTGGATTTCTAAGGACCACTTTTCCCAAGTGTTATATGTTTTCTAATTGTTACATGTTATTTCAGGCTAATGCTATTCTAGGCTGCATCAACAGAAGTCCAGTGTCAGATCAAGGGAAGTCATAGGACCACCCTTTCTGCCTTGGACATAACGCACCTGGAATATTGTGTCCAGTTCTGGGTGCCACAATTTAAGGACATTGACAAGCTGTGCAGAGGAGGGCAACTGAAATGATCAAGGGTCTGGAAACCAAGCCTTATGAGGAATGGTTGGGGGAGTTTGGTATGCTTAGCCTAGAAAAGAGGAGATTTGGTAGCCAACTAAAGGGCTGTCACATGGAAGATGGAGCAAGCTTGTTTTCTTCTGTACTGCAGGGTATGATCTGAACAAATGGATTCAGGTTACAAGAAAGGAGATTCTGACTAAACATCAGGAAAAACTTTCTGATGGCAAGAGTTGTTCGACAATAGAACAGACCTTCCCTCAGAAGGTGGTGGACTCTCCTTCCTGGGAGGTTTTTAAGCAGAGGTTGGGTGGTCATCTGTCATGGATGTTTTAGTTGAGATTTCTGCATTCATAGAATCATAGAGTTGGAAGAGACCACAAGGGCCATCAAGTCCAACCCCCTGCCAAGCAGGAAACACCATCAGAGCACTCCTGACATATGGTTGTCAAGCCTCTGCTTAAAGACCTCCAAAGAAGGAGACTCCACCACACTCCTTGGCAGCAAATTCCACTGTCGAACAGCTCTTACTGTCAGGAAGTTCTTCCTAATGTTTAGGTGGAATCTTCTTTCTTGTAGTTTGGATCCATTGCTCCGTGTCCGCTTCTCTGGAGCAGCAGAAAACAACCTTTCTCCCTCCTCTATGTGACATCCTTTTATATATTTGAACATGGCTATCATATCACCCCTTAACCTCCTCTTTGCAGGAGGTTGGACCAGATGATCCTTGGGGTTCTTTCCAATTCTATAGTTTTATGGTTCTGTGATTCTTTGTGCTAATCTGAGTGAGCAGCTTTCCATCAGAGGAAGATTTCATTTTCACATATAAGAGAATCACGCTTTTCACCTGGTTAGCCAATTGCCTGTGCTTGACACATTCTCTCAGTGTCATGCCCAGGATGATGGACAAATCCATTTGAAGCATAGCTTGAGGATAACTGTGGGGAAAGGCTCCATTGAAGTTGCTGTTTGAGGAGAGGAGAGAAAATGAAAACCTACCATGACTTGTCTTGTGTCCAGCAGGGCAGCAGATGGGGGAAATGTGCCAAGACGATAATAGAAACCTTCTTTCAGACTCATTCCCCAGAACTGGCTGTAGTTCTTAGCTTTCCAGCTGCCTCAGTGATAAAAAAAATAAAAAATAGTGTGTTAGTCATGCATGTTTAGCTCTATGGGCAGTTCATCATAGATGTTGCCATTTTAAAAAAGTTTTGAATGAAGCCTTCATAAGATTTTCCTCCATAGGAAACGATCTTCCACTGATGTGGGAAACGGTAGCATTTAAACTTGCCATTCAAGGTCTGCATTCGTACAATAAAAAGGAATACATTGCCCATTCCTTTTAAGATAATACTTTGATAATTCTGGGCAATTTCCCTCCTTTCAACATAAATATGGTATTCCTGAGTTTCATCATTCACACAAATTCACATCATTCAGTGCACTATCATACTATAGCTTAGTCATATTGCTTATCAGCTAATACTATGTGCAAAATTGCAGTGAGTTAATCACAGAAGATAGAGCTTTGCTATAGATATGCACAACCACAAGATTTATTTCTGTGCATCCGGTCTCAAGATTTATCACTCAGATTTTATCTTGGTTTCTTTCACATTTGTTTGTTTGCTTGTTTGTTTGTTTAAAATGTCCCCCTTGCATCCACCATAGGTATTCTTTTCCCTGTAGTGTTGAAATGCCTGATCCATATGTGGTGATGTCCAAGGCTAGTCATATTCACAGAAGACCTATTGAAACAATGGGTTTCAATGGTCTACTCTACAGCTAACACTAGGTATCACCCACAGCAAACCCATTTCCAGGAACCATGATGATTTAGACTTCCAAGATCATGTTTATCACATGAACCTTTGCTGACACAAAAATGGTGGTGGAACGGTGATCATGGTAATCTCACCTACAGTTGAAATGCAAGGGGTCGTCTTTTGCTGCAACAGTACTTACACATACACACATACATAGCGTGAGACACACACATCCCCTTTTTGTCTTATCTACTGGGAGAGGGTGGCACTGTGGTCTAAAGCACCAACCCTCTTGGGGTTGCCCATTGGAAGGTCAGCAGTTCGAGTCAGTGTAACGGTGGTGAGCTCCCATTGCTCTGTCCCAGCTCCTACCAACCTAGCAGTTCGAAAGCACACCAGTGCAAGTAGATAAATAGGTACCGCTGCAGCGGGAAGGTAAACAGCGTTTTTGTGTGCTCTGGTATTCATCACAGTGTCCCATTGTACCAGAAGTGGTTTAGAAGTGGTTTGTACCACATGACCTGGAAAGCTTTATATAGACAAACGCTATCTCCCCCAACCTGAAGTGAAATGAGCGCCACACCCCATAGTCGCCTTTGACTGGACTTAACCATCCAGGGGTCCTCCTATCTTAAGAAATAGGATCCAATTTACTGAGGGTTTCACCTGGCGACTGCTCAAGAACATTACTTAAAATGCCCCACTAACAAACACAGTCATTTTACATTAACAAATGTTATTATGGGACAGGGTCTACTTTATGCATGGCTATCCTCCTGTAGTGTGTGTGTGTGTGTGATCATGGATACAAACATACATTTTTGGAGCAGGGGGAGTTATTACAAAGTGAAACCAGGGTTTCAATTTAGTCACCTTTTAATTGTGACATTTCTGCTGCTTGTGATGTATAGACCTGCCAGGCCCAGGCAGCAAGATATGGGAATAGCAGCAGAAAGTAATACTGTTTCTGCATTTTGTCTCCCATGGGATCAGTTAAGATGAAAAAATCTTGGTGACATTTTGCTGTATCTTAGTGCACTTTGCTGTATCAAGGATGCGCTGCACAGAGCAGAAATCCTTAGTGGATTAAGTGGCCTATATGTTCAATATAAAGAGTCATCAAATCATCAAGTTATAAAAATCAATGCGCTCCTTCTTGAAAATGGAAACTAACTTCATGGGGGCACTCAGCATTCAATTTGTGTGTGTGAAGCTGTTACTCTCGATATCGAAATCGTCGGGGGAATAATGTTCGAAGCTTCGGAGAGAGGTTGCTTCTCTATGCTGTGTAGAGGAATAGCTGCATAGAGTTATTTCAAAAGAAGAAAATCACATATCTTGCGCTGTGCTCACAGAGGAGGTGTAATAACAAATGCATACACACACATCTGTGGGCATGGTGCTTGGGGGAAAAAAAGATATCAAGGCAATTGCGTAAGGCTCAAGGATCTTTTTCTCTGTCAATAAAATGGAAGCTATTTCCATCTTAGTGCTGCAGAACAGGACTTTTCTCACCCATAGTTACCATCGTTGATTTGCTTAATTAAGTTGGGCTGCACGAGGCACGTTTCTTCTAGGCAGTTCCACTTGCTGCTCATGCATTTGCTGAAAGGAATAAAAGGAGAGAGTTAGACTTACATAGGAAAAGTTTGTGGAGAATAATTACAAACACATAGTACGTTGCCCTGAAACAATGATCTTATAATCCTCTTTTCATCTCTCCCTCTCTGTGTGTGTATCTGGTGAAGAACATTTGGGCTTCTGTCATATATTCCTTCTTTGTTTTATCTGCTTGGTGACAGGTTTTTTTTTAAATCAATAATCAAGATTAGTGGGTATTCAGTAACCCTTGTGGGCCCCACAAAAGAATGGGTTCTTCTAAATCTAGTTTATGATTTACAGTTGTCCCCCAGAATATAGCTGTTCTTTGGAACAGATCCCTGCCCTATCTCAGAAAAATCTTCCACACCACGTTCATCCAAGCTTCTTAATGTGGTCTGAACCCACCAAGCCTCTTGAGCTTGCTGAAGCAGTTCAAATCTGCACGAAGGGGTGAGCTCCTGTTGCTTTGTCTCAGCTCCTGCCAATCTAACAGTTTGAAAGCATACCAGCAGGAGTAGATAAATAGGTACCACTGTGGCAGGAAGATATACAGTGTTTCTGTGAGCTCCGGCTTCTGTCATGGTGTCCTGAAAGTGGAGATGAGTACCACACCCCATAGTCAAATTTGACTGGACCTAACCGTCCAGGGGTCCTTTACCTTTTTCGCGTTTGTGACAATGTCCTTAAAGTGAAGAATCATAAACTGTCACATGCCTGCAGACCTGTTCCCCAGATAGAAATGGAATTCATTCTAGGGTTGTACATTCTGCTTTCCAGACCATTCACAGTCCAAATGCTGCTGCAGAATTGTTAGGATGGATTTGGGATTGGAATCTGGCCAAGACCAGCAGCTGGGTCCTCAGATACAACAGACCATTTTATCTAATCAAGAAATTAGTCATGTTAGTGCTTTGCTCTCTCTGGAATGCATGCAGTCATGCATTGAAAATTGCCCAATTAATATCCATTTGAAAGAGAGGTTAATGGGCTTGTTAATGCATTCAAAATAAGGTGTAGATGGCTCTCTCTCTTTCTCTCAATCCCTCCCTCTGTCCGTCCTGTATTGCTTGGCAAATGCTGTGGGATTTTAGTTTAAATATGCTTCTGCTGCCTCAGTCTGCAATCCTAAACCCACTTGCCTGGTAATAAGCCCCCACTGAACTCAATAGGACTTACTTCTACATAGACATGGATAGGCTCACCCTGTTAGTTGCCCTAACTTAAGATGTAATCAAGAATTACATTTAAAAGGCAGGGAGGAGACAATATTTCAGTTCTCTTTCTTTTTTACTCCTCTTCAATCACATTGATCTGTATAAGGTCAATGACTAAGAACTAAGCAAGCTTTTAATTATGGATTTTAATGCACCAGCAGCTTTTCTGACAGAGATTCCAGCATTCTTTTCCCTTTCAAAAGAAACCCCCACACCATCTAAATTCCTTAGCTGAATTTGAAAGGGCAACTGGAGCCTGGGATCTCCTACTTCACAGTCTCTAATTAATAAATTTGGTGAATCACCTATCAGCCAAACAACATGGGTGTAATAATAACCAACTCCTATTTCAAATAGTCTCAGTATCTATAGGTAAAGGTAAAGGGACCCCTGATCATCAGATCCAGTCATGGCCGACTCTGGGGTTGCGGCGCTCATCTCGCTTTATTGGCCGAGGGAGCCGGCGTACAGCTTCTGGGTCATGTGGCCAGCATGACTAAGCCGCTTCTGGCAAACCAGAGCAGCACATGGAAACGCCGTTTATCTTCCTGCCGGTGCGCTACCTAGTTATCTACTTGCACTTTGACGTGCTTTCGAACTGCTAGGTTGGCAGGACTCCGTATCTATACAGCGACTTAAAATGCATGAAGTGTTTCACATCCATGATCTTGTTGGAATCCTTGCCACATATTCTGTCTATATTGCAGGTGGGAGATGAATGGGTTGCCTAAAACCAGCTAGTGAGTTTGTGAGATAGACGAGATCTGAGCTGGTTTCTTAAGGCTGATCTCAAGAGTGAAGACGTTTCATTTGTTTCTCTCAATTACCAGGAATTGCAGTTGTCTTGAATTGTTGCTCCTTCTTCATAGTACCGGCCACCTTTGAAGCATCCTGCCAATGCAGTACATAGAAAAAAGGAGGCCATAATTAGCCAAATGCCAGCGAGGTAATTGATTGTACATAATTTGCCTAAAGACAGAGGATAGCATTCTGTCCCACCGCCCAGTTTCTGCCAAGTAGACATTTTAATTTTCTGCATCAGTGAACTCGATGAATAAGCGAATCATGCCCGTACAAATTGAGAAAAGATTTCATTATATATTCTTGTAATGCTGTTTACATATCCCTCTGCTTCCAGCATAATTATTCACATTCCTAAAAAGGTTTAATGATCATTCTTTTGTTTCCCCTGTCTGAAAAAATTATGCTGTGTACTCACTTTAAGCAGAGTACACAAGCATCATTAGATTCATATAAACATGGGATGAAACATGCATTTTCCTGTCAGCTAATTCTGAACACAGTATAGTTGAAAAACTAATGGGTCTGGAAGGTCTCCAAAAAAGAAAGAAAAAGAAGTCATGAATATTAGGCAAAACCCTACTAAAGATAATTGTGTGATACAGTCCTGTTGAGAGCAACAGACTTACGCTAGTCACAACTAACATCCTCTATTTAATGTGTAGGCCAATCCTGTGCATGTTTACTCAGGAGCAAGTCTGCTTGATAGGGCTTATTCCCAGTGGCATATCTCTGATATTTCAGAGTCATCTTCTCTAACTCCGTGGCCACTTTTGGAAGTAATGCTAAGCCAAACCAGGGCTTGGCTTGGCATTAACACACAAATACACAGGTTCCTGAGGAGAGGATCATGGCCATTTTGCTCCTCCCTGGTCTTTTTATAGTTCAGCTTGGTGCATCAGCTAAGCCACTGAGCTACAGACCTTCTCACATGTAACCATGTTTACCCCAACTCCCATGCTTACCCCAAAACATGTTTCTACCACTCTTCCGTTGTTCTCCCAAGTTTTCATTTTAGATTGTAAGCTCATCAGGGCAGGGACCTGTCCTCTTGTATTCTCTAAAGTACCATATACAACCGATAGACACTGAATCAATAAACTGCAGAAACTTGCAGCTTTAGATAATATTTATGAATCGAGGCCACTAATAGTTAATAAGGTGCCTCCAATCCACCGGGCGAAAAAATTATACAGACCTTTTTTGTGATCAGGAGACAATCACCCCTCTCTTTTCTAAGTAGGAGATAGATTTAGTATTATTTTTCAGTTCATAGAGGCAGAAATAGATGATAGATGATAGATAGATGATAGATAGATGATAGATAGATGATAGATGATAGATGATAGATGATAGATGATAGATAGATAGATAGATAGATAGATAGATAGATGATAGATAGGTAGATGATAGATAGGTAGATGATGGGTGATGATTGATAGATAGATGATAGGTAGATAGATAGATAGATGATAGATAGATGATAGAGATAGATGATGATAGATAGATAGATAGATAGATAGATAGATGATAGATGATAGATAGATAGATAGATGATAGATAGATAGATAGATGATAGATAGATATAGATGATTGATAGATAGATGATGATAGATAGATAGATAGATAGATAGATAGATAGATAGATAGATGTTTGTATCTGTAACAGGCTTTAATGGGCTGATGTGCACAGTTCACTGCGGCAAAGAGAATGCTGCCTGAGGTGGGAAGATGCCAAGTGTCTTTCTCTTCCTCCAGCTTCCTGGAGGAACAAGCCTCACTGAATTCCACTCTTCACAGCCGCTTCACAGAAAGTCCTTCTGATCTGCGCTGCCTCAAATGAGGGAGCCTCTGTCATCATTAGCACAGAATAGATATTCTCCTCCATGGGGTTTCCTTGGCAAATACAGCTCCCCGCCAGGCTATCAGCTGGAAGAATTGTTTGCCGGCAATTTAACTGAAAGGAGCCAACTTGCTATTGGTACTTAGCAGAGATTCTCTTTTCTTTCAGAGGTGTGTGGAAATTGGAGGGTGAGAATGGAGCCCTGTCCCTTTCAGCATTTCCTTTTCATGCTTTTCTGCTGGAACTAGAGCCAGGTTAGTGCTTGCATTATTTCCGTGGATAAAAAGGTAAAGGTAAAGGTACCCCTGCCCGTACGGGCCAGTCTTGACAAACTCTAGGGTTGTGCGCCCATCTCACTCAAGAGGCCGGGGGCCAGCGCTGTCCGGAGACACTTCCAGGTCACGTGGCCAGCGTGACAAAGCTGCATCTGGTGAGCCAGCGCAGCACACGGAAACGCCGTTTACCTTCCCGCTAGTAAGCGGTCCCTATTTATCTACTTGCACCCGGGGGTGCTTTCGAACTGCTAGGTTGGCAGGCGCTGGGACCGAGCAACGGGAGCACACCCCGCCACGGGGATTCGAACCGCCGACCTTTCGATCAGCAATCCCTAGGCGCTGAGGCTTTTACCCACAGCGCCACCCGTGTCCCGATTTCCGTGGATAGCCTTGCTTAATTCAGGGCTAGTGATGTTGTTGGACTCCAACGTCCATCAGCCTCAGCCAGTGTGGTCAATTGTCAGTGATAATGGGAGTTGTAGTCCAGCAATACCAAGAGGGACATCAGTTCCCCCTCTCCCAACCTAGTTGGCAATGGATTCCATGAAGAACACATGCAATATCAGAAATTTGTAGACCTTTGGTTCCATGTGTAATCCATGTTCTGGTGATACTCTTGCTACTATACTCCTTAATATTATTTGAGTCTGGTTTGGTTTGGAGTAGGAGAGGAGAAGCAGCTGGTGTAAAATTGGTATAGCTCTCTTAAAGTCTACCAGTGATTTTGGGCCTTAGCTCAGTGGTAGAACATCGGCTTTGCATGCAGAAGGTCACAGGTTCAATTCCAAGCATCTCCAGATATCTGAAATCCTTGGAGCGATTCTGCTAGTCATTGTAAAAAAAAAGGTAAAGGTAATGGACCCCTGGATGGTTAAGTCCAGTCAAAGGTGACTATGGGGTTGTGGCGCTCATCTTGCTTTCAGGCCGAGGGAGCCGGTGTTTGTCCACAGACAGCTTTCTGGGTCATGTGACCCATGACTAAACCCCTTCTGGGGCAATGGAACACCATGACGGAAGCCAGAGTGCATGGAAACGCTGTTTACCTTCCCGCCACAGCGGTACCTATTTACCTACTTGCACTGGTGTGCTTTCGAACTGCTAGGTTGGCAGGAGCTGGGACAGGGCAATGTGAGCTCACCGGTTGTGAGGATTCGAACCCCTGACCTTCTGATCAGCAAGCCCAAGAGGCTCAGTGGTTTAGCCCACAGCACCACCCGCGTCAGTGTATGCAGTATGCAGTGTGTGCAGTACTTAACTTGATGGACCAATGGCCTGACTGACAGCTTCCTACATTGTTGTTCCCATGAATTACACAAGGGTTTTAGAATCTAGAAGCAAAAACACCAGGTCCAGAACCGAAAAGACAAATGGGGGAAAAAAAGAAGAATCAGATTCCATCTAAATAGGAGCAAAGCCACTTGTTTGTTGCTGCTTTGCTGTACATTCCTGTCTATAGATCTAGAGCCCTGACTCGTCTTCAGAGATGAGAGGGGGAATTCAGATTTGCCAGGGAGGTTTTCCTTATTAGATCTCAGAGGATGCCTTTAAATATTTTTTTCTGAAACAGGTATCGACTTTCCAAAAATTATTTGAATTCATCTTCAAATCTATGACTAACTGAAGTCCATTGATTTCAACTGGTCTAATCTGAGTAGAGCTTATGTTAGCCTCTACGATTACAGGTGGTAAAAGCATAACATAATTTTGCGTGCTAAATTACTTTACGGTATCTGTCACAGCGCAGTGTGTGAAATCTAAGAGCATGTTTTGTTAATAACTTCCGATGAAATTTGAGAAATGTCATTTGCGATACATTTTGATTTCTATTAAAATGTGTTTAAAATGAGCAATGCTACCAAATGTATTGCTTAATTTTGCAAGTTCACAGATTCTATCTGTGGGGAAAGTTCTTAGCTCAGTGATAGAGCGTCTGCTTTTGATGCAGAAGGTCCCAGATTCCATCTCTGTCATCTCCAAGTAGAGGACACACCTCCTAACTTGCCAATAACAGTTTCTAAAAAAATAAATAATGTTGTAGCATTTGGCCAGTATACATTCAGGGGGACACATAGGTTTTACGCCAAATGCAGCTGGAGATATATTCAACACTCACCCGCTAGCACTGATGAAGCTGTAATAGGGTGGCCCCGGCAAACAGTCCAGAAATCAGGGCAGCAGTCTACAGAGCCAGGAGGGCCTGAGGAACAGAAAGCATCACAGTAGCATGTGGCATTCCTGGCATAGTACAGAAAGGTGCAGCCATCATCTCTACCTGGACAGCAGCCTCGTAGCCTACAGTAACTTCCCCCGGATAGCGTCCTTTTGGCTCTGTTTTCCGTCGAATGGTCTTTCAGCAGAATATTATTCTTGGAGGCATATAATCTGTCCATGCAAAGCATGACTGCAAAGCAACAAAAAACAAAAAGGCAGGTATAGATCTCCATTCTGGGGTGTTTGTTTTCCCAATGGTAGATTTTCTAGATCTCGCTGAGCAGGACTCTTTCAGAATGGTTCTCTACCAAGTGTGCAGGTCAAAACAAAGCAAAAAACAAACAAAAAAATGGTCATGATTCGAGCAAGAAGTCCAAACAGAAGCTTGGAAAATAATGTTCTCTGTGATGTGGAAAACATTTGGACTTTAACCATTAGTCAGAGATGTTATAAAATGCCCTGTTTACACAAGATTTTTACACAAGCTGCTGAGTATCATATAAATACTGGACACAAGGTCCGAAGAAATAAACAGAAATCCTTTCAGATAATTGGAACGATAAACAACTGGGCACATCAATAGAGCTGAGCTGTAAAATACTTTTCTAGAAAGCTACATCTGATCTCACCATTGTTATGTATAAAGTATCTTTGATAGTTTATGGGTCTATCTCTGGCAAGATTAAATGCTGCACTGATGCCATCACATCTTGAAATACATGAAAATACTCCTACTCAGTAGGCTAATTCAATACATTTTTTATGCCTGAGGCAGGTTAGGAAATCTCTACACATATACAACAAATCAAGGTGGATACTACCCAAGGCTGGCCTAAATGTTTTGACAGTTGAGGCAGAAAATCTCTCACACATACCCCTCCCTGTAAAAATACAGCCAATTAAATAAATAATATCTTGCCCTTTTAGAACACCCCAGAATCAGTTGCCTGAGGCAACTTCAAATATAGCTGCAGGAAAGCAGTCTTCGCTAGGCATGCAAAGATTCAATGGAAATTGAAATTTCACATGGCTGTATGAGTCAGAAAAACTGCGTCTGGGAAAGCACAGGAAACAAAAATTGATTGAAGAGCATTTCATCACATAAGACAACGTTATTTTTAGCCACCAAACCCAGATACTGTTGATTTTTCACAATAATGCTTTTTGCCCAAGAACATAGAAGTTAACTGTTTTAGAGCTTAAAGCGAAGCTACATGAACATAGAATAAGATCTGCTACTAATATTTGGCAGTTCTGCATGCCCATCACCATTTTAATGTTGATCATTATTGCTATATTGGATTACCTGCCAAAGGGAGAGGAATGCCTACTGTGAACCTATTGACTTTGAGGCACACTTCTCAGATTACTGTCACCCTCAAGGCAGGCAATTATAGCCCAGTCTTAATCACAGTCAACATCAGTAGCACAATACATGCACTCTTATGTTGCATGGACCTGAGGTTCTAATGCCTTCTATTCTTAGATACTGCCAGGGCTTTTTTTCAGCCAGAACTCACCAGAAATCAGTTCCGGCACCTCTCAGGTGGGTGCTACTGCCATTCTAAGAGAATGGTGAGTTCTAGCACCTCTTTTTCTAGAAAAATAGCACTTGGTTAGTATACTTCTAGCTTAATATCCCACCAGTTTTACTTGTTGCTTACTGGCCAAACTACATGTTACACACAAATACTTGCAACTCTAGGCCCATAGCCATTCTGAGAGAGGGAAAGCCACATTCAGGGTGAGAAGGTTGTGTCATCATGGGATCAGCTTCAAATCCTCATATCACAAATTCAAAATTTATCCCGTTTTTGTTCAAACACTCATGGAGCAGCCAGAAGGGCCTCTCCTGGCAAACAGCTTCTTTTTCTCACAGCAGCAATGCAAGCCAAGAACATGTATGTGAACACCCCAAACAAATTTGCTGTCCTGGGTGCATGCAGAAGGGCAGGTGAAGGAAACGTGAACTCCTCTTTTGCAGAGCAAATACCTCAGGTTGGGGCAATCAAAACAGAGAAAACCTGCCCCTTATCCAGCCCATCCAGCAGTCTCCCACTCGGCATTTTTACCTGTTTGGAGGGCCCTCGAGGAACTACTGTACTGCCCAAGGTTAGTGCTGCAATGTGGGGATGAGGAACCTGCACCGTGTATATACTACAAAGCCCACCATCCATTAACATTTGACCATGCTGGGAATGATGGGAGATAGAGTCCAACAACATCTGGAAGTCCATCAGTTCCCCATCCCTGACAGAGCAGCTCATACCTTGTACAGCATTCCTTGACAATTCTGATATACCGTATTTTTTGCTCTATAAGACTCACTTTTCCCCTCCTAAAAAGTAAGGGGAAATGTGTGTGCGTCTTATGGGGCGAATGCAGGCTGCGCAGCTATCCCAGAAGCCAGAACAGCAAGAGGGATCGCTGCTTTCACTGCGCAGCGATCCCTCTTGCTGTTCTGGCTTCTGAGATTCAGAATATTTTTTTTCTTGTTTTCCTCCTCCAAGAACTAGGTGCTTTCTTGTGGTCTGGTGCGTCTTATAGAGCGAAAAATACGGTACCTGGCAACACTGAGTGGATAAGTGACAGGCAGCAAGAAGTGATTCATTACCTCATCTCGTGCTAATAATGATGATGATGATGATGATTATATAATAATAATAATAATAATAATAATAATAATAATAATAATAATTTATTATTTATACCCCGCCCATCTGGCTGGGCATCCCCAGCCACTCTGGGCGGCTTCCAAAAAAATATTAAAATACTCTAATACATCAAACATTAAAAGCTTCCCTAAACAGGGCTGCCTTCAGATGTATTCTAAAAGTCTGGTAGTTGTTGTTCTCTTTGACATCTGGTAGGAGGGCGTTCCACAGGGAGGGCGCCACTACTGAGAAGGCCCTCTGCCTGGTTCCCTGTAACTTGGCTTCTCGCAGTGAGGGAACCGCCAGAAGGCCCTCGGTGCTTGGACCTCAGTGTCCAGGTAGAACGATGGGGGTGGAGACGCTCCTTCAGATATACTGGACCAAGGCCGTTTAGGGCTTTAAAGGTCAGTGCCAACACTTTGAATTGTGCTCAGAAACATACTGGGAGCCAATGTAGGTCTTTCAAGACCTCTGGAAGCAGTTTTCCCTCTTCAAATAAGACTGTGAATGTGCACCTACCTCATTCTGCACTGCATTTTGTTCTGTGAGCTGCCCAGGGAACTTATGTAATGCCACAGCTCCATAAATCCAGTAAAAGGAAAACAACCATAAATTTTATATCATACAAATATTCTCGTGCGAATAAGGACTTTCAGATGTGCCAGCCAGCAGCTGAAAATCCAAGTCGTTGCAAACATTGTGCCACAACCTAATTAAGCATGCTAAATGCCCATTAAAATCACATGTAGTTTAATTGAAGCCTCGTTATTTTTACATTAGCTTTAGGAGTATATTACATGGATTCTCACTGAGACTTTACCTCTTAAGCAATTGCCATAAAATGTAATGACACATATTTCTACATTTTCAGCGGTTAATGAAGCACCTATTAGCTACTAAAGCACCTGCACATTGACACACCAAACATAACCCTTGAAATATTCCTCATTTCCAATGGTGTTTTTTTCAGAATACTGACTGTTGGAGGGCTGTTTGCATAAAGAAAGACTCTTACAACTGGGCTAGAAAATCAACAATCACACTGTCTCTGCTCTACATAAACACCATTCATTTAAAGCACATTTCCACCCCAAAGAATCTTGTAAACGGTAGTTTAAGGATGCTGGGGATTATAGCTTTGTGATGGGTAAACTACAGTCCCCAGCATTCTCTGGAAGGAGGAGGTGTGCTTTAAACGTGTGTCATGTACAAAGCCTGAATTCCATCAGTTCCTCTGAGCATACAATGGGTGTTAGGTTGATGAATGACTACACCTCTTATCACCTTTGACATTTTGCTCCCAGAATCTGTCTTGCACTGCTTACCTTGTACATTCAATGAAAACAAGTGATAATGATTTTCCTAGGGAGAACTATGTCAGGTACAGCTGGGGAAATTGATGTTTGGATACTACCCCATTAAACGTCTTTTTTTTTCCTTTTGCAGGGGAAATACAAAACTGGCACAGTAAGGATCAGCCAGTATTTTTCCATGTGCAGGAAGGTTTTTGCTTCCACCAATTCTCCACCTATCCTTGGGATACATTCAGAAATAGACCTGTAACCTGAACAGGTACAATGCAAGAAAATCTTGTTCATTGGGGCTAATGAAAGGTAAAAAGGTAAAGGTACCCCTGCCCGTACGGGCCAGTCTTGACAGACTCTAGGGTTGTGCGCTCATCTCACTCTATAGGCAGACACTTCCGGGTCACATGGCCAGCGTGACAAGATGCATCTGGCGAGCCAGCACAGCACACGGAACGCCGTTTACCTTCCCGCTGGTAAGCGGTCCCTATTTATCTACTTGCACCTGGGGGTGCTTTCGAACTGCTAGGTTGGCAGGCGCTGGGACCGAACGACGGGAGCACACCCCGCCGCGGGGATTCGAACCGCCGACCATGCGATCGGCAAGTCCTAGGCGCTGAGGTTTTACCCACAGCGCCACCCGCGTCCCTGGGGCTAATGAAGCCTTTCTCAAATGACTGGGACATTCTAGGTTGCGCCCAGTGATTACGACTAACCCAGGTCCATTCATTTCAATGGGCCTTTGCTGAGTAGAACGTCACCAAATATAATCCTGTGTTTATCATTTTCCAACTGAGGTCAGACTACTACACATTTCTCATTTTCCATCATACAGTACTTTTGGCAATCACCTGTCTTGGGTTTGTCTTATCTTGTACCATTTCATATTGTTCAATCAGTTTTGTGTAGGCTTAGAGCTATCTGAAAATTAAGAATTTTTTTGTGACATACTGTAATAATCAGCTTCCAAAGGTATAGTCTGAAAGCAGGTGAGTGTAGCACTTTCCTGAATGTCAGCAGGTTAGTGCCTGGAAAAACATGGATGATGCCTTGGACCCTATGTCAGATGAAAGGTGCGGGGATATACCGGTAAATGAAAGAAAATAATAAAATTAAAGGCTTACATGTCTTTAGAAGCTTATCAAAACCAATTCTCTCTCTCTCTCTCTCTCTCTCTCTCTCTCTCTCTCTCTCCATTTTCTGATACTGTCAGGAAAAAACAGTCCTTGAATGGAAAGAGGAAAAGGTTGGGCACCTGAATCTGCTTGCAGAAATTATTGTGTACAAACCTTCTGGATGTTTCTTAAGCAGTTAGGAGGGTGGCAACACAAGATTGGACCTTTTCTGCAGTGGCTCCCCACTTGTGGAATGCTCTCCCCAGGGAGG